CTTAGTTTATTTTCTGGTGCTTTCACTTCCAGAGACGGTTGTAAGCACTGTGTAACTGCCTCGAGGGTGCTTGACCATTTTAACACAACGTGGCGAGATCATCCCCCTTGCGCGGAGTGAGGGTTCTCCACCCCGCACGACATCATCTACTCGACCACCATTATGCCGGGTTTTCGGGGAAGGGGCAAAAACACGTGCACCTTCGATTTCTGGGGTGGATGGCCTGTGACCGCGGAAGGCGTCCGCGTGGGCAGAGACCCGAACGATTTTCAAGGTGAAACTTACGACAACACTAGCAACAACAACAACCTGCTTGGCGCGAAGCTTGGCCTCTCGCTCCTCGCGGTCCCTGCCGAGAGCGGTGACTTTGGCCATCGAGCGCTTGAGCTGGCGCTGGTTGTCTTCCGTCTCCGCCTGAAGGGCCGCCCGCTTGCTCCTCTCCGCTAGCACGGTAGCCTATAGGCACCAAAGGGACACACGACGCATGTGGGTGAATCGAGCAAGCCCGTTGGGCAAGGCAGAGCACCACAAACTCCCTCCGACCCAACCAGAGCAAGACATGGTCATCCGACCTCCACACGAATAAAAACATGCCGGGCGGCCAGCACGCAGCTCGTTGGCGTGCGCGCCCGTGACAATGCATTCGCGCCCCTGCCCTCAGTTTTTCACACTCCAAACGAAGGTATACCGCTCCTCAGCTCTGCAACCCTCCAAGCCTAGACAGAAGGAGTCGGCCGACGGTAGTTCAGCAACAGCTGGCCACAGACTGAGAACGCAGTCTGTACCCAACGCTCCCGAAACGACTCGTCCTTCAGACTGCGTGAATCTAGCGACATATGCATCCCTCGCCAAGCGCCTAGTGGCGACAACACCGCAACACATCGCACTCAAAGATAGCGCTTCTAACCCATCCTTCGCGCTGGAGGAACATGTCCCGATGTTGGCTGCTGCATGTAGCTGTCTTATCACCTGTGAGGCTTCCAGCTGAGACTTGAGGGAGCTGATCTGGTACTCCAGCTGCTGCCGGAGGTCGCCCACGTTCTTCACCCGCGACTCCAAAAGCGCCCCCATCTTCTGCTGCGAGCGAGCGTGTTCCCTCTGGAGAGTCGCCAAGGCCTCCTCCGCGTGCTCCTGAAGCATGGCAGCGACACAAAAAAGTCAGCCAGAAACATGTTACGGATTATGACGAAGCCAACCGAAATTAGCTCCGAACTACCCCTGTACTCGATGATTAAATCACGCCCTATCGAAGTGGCAAGGAGTTTGTCAACTAATTTTGGTGTCCTGAAAGCGGAAAAGTGTTGCCAATGTTGGTATCCTGAAAGCAGGGAGTGTGCCCTTAGATATGCCTTGAGCGGGGTGCCTCACTGTCATTAAAGCGGGTAGTGTCCAGAATGCTGGTATCCTATCCATAAAGCGGAGGGCATCCAAAAGTATGGGTGTGTACACAAACGGTAGTGTCCACCAAGCTATGGTAGCCTTAAAGCGGGGAATGTCCTTACAGTTTGCATCCCTAAAGCGTGCTTCGTAGCTCAACCTTAAAGCGAAGAAAATTCACAAGTTTCGGAATCCCTAAAAATGCGGGGAAACTTTCGCGTCACCTTCTTCCGGCCGGCCTCCCTAAGCTTCGCCCGGAGGTCCTTTCCTTCCTCGAGAAGATTCTTAGCGCCGACGTTCTTGTGAGCCGGTCCCAGGCTAATGTTCCTTGCCCTCGTCGCGAACTGCAGCGCGAAGAGCGTCTCGTCCACGTTAAGGGTCGTGGGGCACACGGTCACCACCATAGCCGTCCGCGAGTTGCCCCCCAGCGCGTCCTGAGGCAGTGTGGTCAAGGGGGCGTACATATGCGGACGGAAAAAAGCAGGACAGACATAACGGAAGAATGGTTCGGGG